AACCTGACTCAGTTACACCAGCTCTGTCAGGAGGAATGGGCCAAAATTCACCCAACTTATTGTGGGAAGCTTGTGGAAGGCTACCTGAAACATTTGACCCAAGTTAAACAATTTAAAGGTAATGCTACCAAATACTAATTGAGTGTATGTAAACTTCTGACCCACTGGGAATGTGATGAAAGAAAGAAAAGCTGAAAGAAATCATTCTCTCCACTATTATTCTGACATTTCACATTCTTAAAATAAAGTGGTGATCCTAACTGACCTAAAACAGGGACATTTTACTAGGATTAAATGTCAGGAATTGTGAAAAGCTGAGTTTAAATGTATTTGGCTAAGGTGTATGTAAACTTACGACTTCATCTGTAGCTGGTCTGAGGCAGGCGTTAGATTGCCTCAGACCAGCTAGTTTAAGTGCAACGTTAATAACCAAGGTTTTGGGAAACAGCTCCTACGAAGGTTCTAACGATGAACTTAGCCTTAAGATGCTTTTGGAAAATTGGGCCTAGATAACTGCAGCCCATATCAATGCAAATGAAAAACAGCAGTCCCAGAGTCATCGCTGTGTGTGCGCTTACCTGTGTGACACATAAGGGTAAGGCGAGGGGGGGGAGAAACAGCAAAACAGAGTGAGAAGATGGGAAAAACTGAGAATGAGCGAAAGAAAGAGAAAAAGCGATATGCACAGTCTTTCTTGCTCCGTTCTGTTTAGTCTCTGTTACTAGGCAACACCTGCAGGCATGGGCTAAATAAAGCCTTGCACCAGCCACTCACCCCCTCCTTCACCCCCCCTTTTCTCTCCCCATCTCTCACCGCCATACTCTCTAACCTAATCTTATTCTCCCTCATCCCATTCCCTCCATTCCTCTCTTCTCTCCCTCTGCATCCTTTTCTTGCCCCTCCTCAGCTTCAATTCCACCATGTGCCGAAAGCAGAGGTGATATCCACAGCACAGGCCTTGAACCTGCAGAGCTACCTTGGGTGTGTGTGTGTATTGTTCTACCATGAACCCAGAACACATTTACCTTGACAGTCTGCTCCCTTTCTCTCGGATGGTGATTTATGTAGAACGACTATGAGACGGGGAGTAAGATCAAATAAGATAGAGGTAAACCCTGTGGACCCTGCTAGCTGAATCTCTACAGGAAATAAACCCTATCACCATGGAGACTACTCAGCAACAGGCAGTGGAACAGGCACCAGAGATTCTAAACAATTACTTCCCACTGGGCACAGATGTCAATTCAACGTTGGTTCACTGTAATTCCATTGAAATGACGTGGAAACATTGATTCAACGTGTATGTGCCCAGTGGGCTGTGATTATCCTAATGCCATTACAGAGACCTGTTCTAGAGCATTTAGTTCAGAGTTCTGTTCTTGGGCATATGGTCACTATGGTCTCTGTAGACAAATGCAGAGACATTTATTTTGGGGGTTTAAACCAAATCCTGTCTTTTGCAGAAAGACAGTTGGAGAACTAAAGCTGCCTTCGAAAGACACGTAAATCCATTAAATCTGTACCCTCACACTGCAGGAGCCAGTGATGTCTTTTTTTAAAGGTCTGAGTGAATGTAAGTAAGCGTGTGGACTAAAAGCATTTTGCTTTTCCAAATGTCTGCGTTAACCTGTAGACACGTGCATGTGTGTGTTTTGAGCGTGTGCGCGTTGAAGGCTGAGTGGGATTTGGCTTAATCCAAACATGAAACAAACTCTATCCCCCAATGCCAACACCCAATGTGAATCTGTATGTGTGTGTTGCGTAAGGGCTTTTATTATATAATCCCAGAGATATACACATATCCACAAGCCGAGGCTTGCAGTCAGAGAGCATGAAGCAGGCAACAGCAGCGGATTGGAGGAGGAGAGAGGAGGAAAGGAGTTTGGAAGGAGGGGAGAGGGGGAGAGGAGAAGAGTGGAAGGAGGAGAGAAGAGGGTGGAAGGAGATTGGGTAGGCAAAGAGGGGAAGGGGTGAGATGAGGAGGTTCTGTCCGCTTGATTGATAGGTTCTAGATTGATGGTTCAGTCTAAAGAAAACAAGTGCTGGATCAAACAACGCAATGAAGTGCACTATGAGACAGTATTTCAACGGCTTAGAAAATGGCTAACGTAAGACAAAAGTACACTGGTTTCACAAGAGTATTTACAGTAACTGACAGAAGGTTTTAGGCTTTCAAATAGCAAACGTGGTGGATTGTCTAGGTCCTGAGAGACCGTTTGATTAAAGTGACCGTCTGGAACATTTAAAGTCCAGAGCTTGAAGAGGAGTCCTGCTATAAAAGCCCAGTCGACAGCCAGCAAGAGGGAGAGAGAAATGAATAAACAAAGGTGTGTGGAGAAAGAACAGTGGAGGAAGGTTACAGGATAAATAGAGAGGAGGTAGAGGAGGTACTGTAGACAGAGAGAGAGGTACAAGGAGGAGTAGAGTGAATGATGTGTTCCTACCAGGGAGCATGTCATTATGGTATTATTGAGTTGGCCCAGAGAGCTGCAGCTAAAACGCCCTGGGCATCACTCACTGACAGAGCAGAGCGGAGGGTACACTCACACACACGGCTGTTACAACCTAAGCTTTCTCCACCCCCCGCCTCCTCCTTTCTTCCTCCCTCTCGTCTGTTTAATACTCTGAAACTCCATACATTCGTGACAACTGGTCGGCAGACAGACATGCAGTTGACTTTTTCCACATTTTGTTACGTTACAAAAAACTCTTAAATCAATCTACACACAATACCCCATAATGACAAAGCAAAAACAGTTTTAGACATTTTTGCAAAATACTTAAATATCACATGTACATAAGTATTCAGACCCTTTACTCAGTACTTTGTTGAAGCACCTGTGGCAGCGATTACAGCCTCGAGTCTTCTTGGGTATGACGCTACATGCTTGGCACACCTGTATTTGGGGAGTTTCTCCCATTCTTCTCTGCAGATCCGATCAAGTTCTGCACAGATATTTTCAGGTCTCTTCAGAGATGTTCGATCGGGTTCAAGTCCGGGCTCTGGCTGGGCCACTCAAGGACATTCAGAGACTTGTCCCGAAGCCACTCCTGCATTGTCTTGGCTGTGTGGCTTAGGGTCGTTGTCCTGTTGGAAGGTAAACCTTCGCCCCAGTCTGAGGTCCTGAGTGCTCTGGGGCAGGTTTTCATCAAGATCTCTGTACTTTGCGCTGTTCATCTTTCCCTAGATCCTGACTAGTCTCCCAGTCCCTGCAGCTAAAAATCATCCCCACAGCATGATGCTGCCACCACCATGCTTCACCGTAGGGATGGTGCCAGGTTTCTTCCAGACGTGATACTTGGCATTCAGACCAAAGAGTTAAATCTTGGTTTCATCAGACCAGAGTCTTGTTTCTCATGGTCTGAGAGTCCTTTAGCTGCATTTGGCAAACTTCAAGCGGGCGGTGCCGTCTGGCCACTCTACCATAAAGGCCTGATTTGTGGAGTGCTGCAGAGATGGTTGTCCTTCTGGAAGGTTCTCCCATCTCCACAGAGGAACTCTACAGCTCTGTCAGAGTGAACATCGGGTTCTTGGTCACCTCCCTGACCAAGGCCCTTCTCCCCCGATTGCTGTTTGGCCCGGCCGCCAACTCTAGGAAGAGTCTTGGTGGTTCCAAACTGCTTCCATTTAAGAACGATGGAGGCCACTGTGTTCTTAGGGACCTTCAATGCTGCAGATATTTTTTGGTACCGTTCCCCAGATCTGTGCCTTGACAATCCGGTCTTGGAGCTCTACGGACAATTCCTTCGACCTCATGGCTTGGTTTTTGCTTTGACATGCACTGTCAACTGTGGGACCTTATATAGACAATGTGCCTTTCCAAATCATGTCCAATCAATTGAATTTACCACAGGTGGACTCCAATGAAGTTGTAGAAACATCTCAAGGATGATCAATGGACACAGGATGCACCTGAGCTCAATTTCGAGTTTCATAGCAAAAGGTCTGAATACTTAAGCAAATTTATTGTTTTACAAATATCTAGAAAACCTGTTCTGTAGTGTGTAGGTTGATGAGGATTTTTTAAAATTCAATTTAGAATAAGGCTGTAACGTAACAAAATGTTTCCCTTCCTTTTCAGTCTCCCTCTGGCCTTTATTCTTTCCCCCCTATTTTGCTCTGTCTAGGGGTGGTCTTTGCTCCTACTTCCTTATGCCTCCATTAGTTTGAGACAGGATGAGAGAAGAGCGGAAGAGAAGGGTGGATAAGGAGAAGAGAAGGAAAAGTATTTTCTCTGTTCTCCCTCTTCCAGTGGGAGAAAATAAGGATTGAATGAGAAAAGCAAGAGTATGCTCTCTTTCCCTCTCTTCCAGTTCCAGTGAGAGGTGAAGGGGCTGCATGGTCGTCATGGCAGCAGAGATGGCTAATAAACAGGAAACATGGCTGATGGGGTGTGTGTGTATGGTTGTGTGATATGATGCAGTTTAAGTCACCATGGCAACCACATAAAGGCAGTTATTTGTGTATGAGTTTGAGAGATTGTGCATGTTCATGTGTGTGCGTGGGAAGCAGAGTTAGATTCCATTTCAATGCACTTCAGAGACTGTATATGAATTGAATATCTTTAATCAATTCCATATTTCATCTTCCTTACAATGATAGGAAATGAAATAGCCATTGCGATAAACCTTCAAACATGCACAATAAGAAAAAAACGACATTTTCTCTCTGTTTTGCCAGTGGAGTTCCCTGTTAAAATAGAATAATCAGCAGTAGAAAATAAAATAAGTCACTAAATCGTCGACCCCTGGAGCGCACCAAGTCTGGGGGAGCATGGAAGAGCAAGGAATTTACTTTCACATCATTGCAGACAAAGAGGAGACAAGGAGAGGAAAACTTGTAAGACTAATGAGATACACATTTCTTTCTAGTCCTCCCCTCAAGTGCTGGTCAAAATCTCCCCTCCTCCCCTTTCAGGTGCTCCTCACCTCTATTTTCACCTCTTTTATGCTGCCATTTTTGTTCCCGTTCTCCGTCTCCTCCTCCTCTCTGTCCCCGTCTACTTCCCTGGGTCCTGGCCCTGTTTGTCCCGGAATACCTCGACCCCCAGCATGCAGAGGTAGTGGAACCTCTCGTTGTGGGATACAAAAGTTCTGATGGAGGTCTTGCCTCTCCAGCCACACAGCTCTATATGACACTGAGGACCATCAGGGTTACTGAGGAGACAGGGAGAGAGAGAAAGAGGGTGAATTCTCTGATAACAGTGAATAACACACACAGATGGACAGACAGACAAACAAAATGGACACTTACCTACCATCAGGCCGGTATTTTGGAACAATGCTGCCCATTCCTGTAGAAACACAGAGGAACACTGCATGAACACACACACAAACACCACCCTACAACCACACAGTACAGAACATAGACGGGTTTGAAGGAAAAATAGTAACACACACGACTGTACCTATCTTCTTGGCCTGTTGGTGAGCGTCATCCTCCAGTTTGTTGAGGCACGGGTTCTCCTGAGTCAGTAGAATCTTGATGTCCTCAACACTGATTGTGATCATCCTGGAGCGGATGTAAGGGAACAGAGTGTAGATTCCCTGGAGGAGGAGAGACGGAGGAGGAGAGAGGGAGAGAGGAATGAGTGTGTCCGCATGTGTACCGCCGTATGTGCGCACTTCCCATGTTTTCTAAAAGTCTTGAATATTAATATGTGTACCTATTTCCTGGGCTAGTCTGAAGTCACAGCCAAACTCCTCCCCGTCGCTGTTGCGAGACCACACCTTCACCCCTGTGTTGATCACCTGCAAAACACACAAAATAATGAAATCATCATTACAGTGCTTATGAGAATAACATCAGTTTCAGCAACATATTTACCAATTGCGCCTGGCACCTACTACTATACCCCATTCAAAGGCACTTAATATTTTGTCTTGCCCATTTACCCTCTGAATGGCACACATACACAATCCATGTCTCAATTGTTTCAAGGCTTAAAAATCATTCTTTAACCCATCTCCTCCCCTTCATCTATACTGATTTAAGCAGATTTAACAGATGTTATCAATAAGAGATCATAGCTTTCACTTGGATTCACCTGGTCAGTCTGTCATGGAAAGAGCAGGTGTTCTTAATGTTTTGTACACTCAGTGTATATGCATGTATCCATGTAAGCATGTATGTAGTTCTGGGAACAGTCTGGTGATGGAGACTCAGCCTGTTACTACTGTTTAGCTGGAGGCTGATCTGAACCTGGGTCAGGTCTAAACATCACAACAACATCAGAGAAATGAGGGGGGGGGGGGGGGGGGGGGACACATAGAAAGAGAGGGGGAGAGAGACAGAGGAATAGGGGGAGGGAGTGGTTATCTGACTGCTTGGAGGCACACACACAGACACCTGTGCAGGTGCTGAGAGTGTACTAGGGGGAGTTGGGATGAGAAGGGTCCCATCTGTTAACTAGACTCCCCCTTGATGGGCTGGCAGTGACATACACACAGCTGTTTGGCAGGGCGCTGCTTTGTTCCTTAGATACCATACAGGTGTCTCACACACAAACGCACACCTCACTAGACACACATACACCCCTACATTAATGCGTTCACTGTTGTTGAGCATGACGTTGCGTAGCTCCTTGGAGACCATGTACAGGTGTCTCTTCTTACCCTCGTGGGTTCTGGTCAGAACGTTTATCTTAGGGTTAGTCTGGAGACAGGTCATTGAAGGACTGGAGACAGGTCATAGAAGGACCTGCAAAACACACATTCATGGAATAGATGAAGAATCAGTGATCAATCAAAACATGTACACTGAACAAAAATTTAAAATGCAACATGTAAAGTGTTGGTCCCAAGTTTCATGAGTTGAAATAAAAGACCCCAGACAATTTCCTTATGCAAAAAAAGCTTATTTCGCTCAAATTTTGTGCACAAATTTGTTTACATCCCTGTTAGTGAGCATCTCTCCTTTGCTAATAAAATCCACCCCGACAGGTGTGGCATATCAAGAAGCTAATTAAACAGCATGATCATTACACAGGTGCACCTTGTGCTGGGGACAATAAAAAGGCCACTCTAAAATGTGCAGTTGTGTCACTAAACAATGCCACAAATGTCTCAAGTTGAGGGAGTGTGCAATTGGCATGCTGACAGCAGGAATGACCACCAGAGCTGTTGCCAGTGAATTGAATGTTCATTTCTCTACCATAAACTGCCTCCAACGTCATTTTAGAGAATTTTCCAGGACGTCCAACTGCCCTCACAACCGCAGACCACGTGTAACCATGCCAGCCCAGGACCTCCACATCCTGCTTCTTCACCTGCGGGATCGTCTGAGACCAGCCACCCGGACAGCTGATGAAACTGTGGGTTTGCACAACTGAAGAATTTCTGCACAAACCGTCTCAGGGAAGTTCATCTGCGTGCTCGTCATCCTCACCAGGGTCTTGACCTGTCTGCAGTTCGGCATCGTAACCGACGTCAGTGGGCAAATGCTCACGTTCGTTGGCCAATGGCATGCTGGAGAAGTGTGCTCTTCACGGAGGAATCCCGGTTTCAACTGTACCGGGCAGATGGCAGACAGTGTGTATGGCGTCGTGTGGGTGAGTGGTTTGCTAATGCCAACATTGTTAACAAAGTGCCCCATGGTGGCGGTGGGGTTATGGTATGGGCAGGCATAAGCTACGGACAACGGACACAATTGCATTTCATTGATGGCAATTTAAATGCACAGAGATACTGTGTCAAGATCCTGAGGCCCATTGTCATGCCATTCATCCGCCGCCATCACCTCATGTTTCAGAATGATAATGCACGACCCCATGTCGCAAGGATCTGTACACAATTCCTAGAAGCTGAAAATATCCCAGTTCTTCCATGGCCTGCATACTCACCAGACATGTCACCCACTGAGCATGTTTGGGATGTTCTGGATCGACAGCATGTTCCAGTTTCCGCCAATATCCAGCAACTTCGCACAGACATTGAAGAGGAGTGGGACAACATTCCACAGGACACAATCAGCCTGATCAACTCTATGCGAAGGAGATGTTGCGCTGTATGAGGCAAATGATGGTCACACCAGATACTGACTGCTTTTCTGATACCTTTAAAAAAAATAAGTAGGGGTGTGTATCTGTGACCAACAGATTCATATCTGCATTGCCAGTCATGTGAAATTCATAGATCAGAGCCTAATCAATTTATTTCAATTGACTGATTTTATTTTACATTTCACCTTTATTTAACCAGGTAAGCCAGTTGAGAACAAGTTCTCATTTACAACTGTGACCTGGCCATGATAAAGCAAAGCAGTGCAATAAAAACAACAACACAGAGTTACATATGGAATAAACAAAAACGTACAGTCAATAACACAATAGACAATCTATTTACAGTGTGTGCAAATGTAGTAAGTTATTGAGGTAAGGCAATAAATAGGCCATAGTGCAAAATAATTACAATTTAGTATTAACACTGGAGTGATAGATGTGCAGAAGATGATGTGCAAATAGAGATACTGGGGTGCATATGAGCAAAATAAATAACAATGTAAATAACAATATGGGGATGAGGTAGTTGGGTGGGCAAATTACAGATGGGCTGTGTACAGGTACAGTGATCGGTAAGCTGCTCTGACAACTGATGCTTAAAGTTAATGAGGGAGATAAGTGTCTCCAGCTTCAGAGATTTTTGTCGTTCGTTCCAGTCATTTGCAGCAGAGAATTGGAAGGAATGGCGGCAAAAGGAGGTGTTGGCTTTGGGGATGACCAGTGAGATATACCTGCTGGAGCGCATACTACGGGTGGGTGTTGCTATGGTGACCAATGAGCTAAGATAAGGCGGGGATTTGCCTAGAAGTGATTTATAGATGACCTGGAGCCAGTGGGTTTGGCGACAAATATGTAGTGAGGGCCAGCCAACGAGAGCGTACAGGTCACAATGGTGGGTAGTATATGGGGCTTTGGTGACAAAACGGATGGCACTGTGATAGACTACATCCAATTTGCTGAGTAGAGTGTTGGAAGCTATTTTGTAAATGACATCGCCGAAATCAAGGATCGGTAGGATAGTCAGTTTTACGAGGGCATGTTTAGCAGCATGAGTGAAGGAGGCTTTGTTGCGAAACAGGAAGCCGATTCTAGATTTAACTTTGGATTGGAGATGCTTAATGTGAGTCTGGAAGGAGAGTTTACAGTCTAACCAGACACCTAGATATTTGTAGTTGTCCACATATTCTAAGTCAGACCCGCCGAGAGTAGTGATTCTAGTCGGGCGGGCGGGTGCAAGCAGCGTTCAAATGAAGAGCATGCATTTAGTTTTACTAGCGTTTAAGAGCAGTTGGAGGCCACAGAAGTAGTGTTGTATGGCATTGAAGCTTGTTTGGAGGTTTGTTAACACAGTATCCAATGAAGGGCCAGATGTATACAAAATGGTGTCGTCTGCGTAGAGGTGGATCTGAGTCACCAGCAGCAAGAGCGACATCATTGATATACACAGAGAATAGAGTCGGCCCGAGAATTGAACCCTGTGGCACCCCCATAGAGACTGCCAGAGGTCCAGACAACAGGCCCTCCGATTTGACACATTGAACTCTATCTGAAAAGTAGTTGGTGAACCAGGCGAGGCAGTCAGTTGAGAAACCAAGGCTATTTAGTCTGCCAATAAGAATGCGGTGATTGACACAGTCAAAAGCCTTGGCCAGGTCGATGAAGACGGCTGCACAGTACTGTCTTTTATCAATCGCGGTTATTATATTGTTTAGGACCTTGAGCATGGCTGAGGTGCACCCATGACCAGCTCGGAAACCAGATTGCATTGCGGAGAAGGTACGGTGGGATTCGAAGTAGTCGGTGATCTGTTTGTTAACTTGGCCTTCAAATACTTTCGAAAGGCAGGGTAGGATGGATATAGGTCTGTAACAGTTTGGATCTAGAGTGTCACCCCCTTTGAAGAGGGGGATGACCGTGGCAGCTTTCCAATCTCTGGGGATCTCAGACGATACGAAAGAGAGGTTGAACAGGCTAGTAATAGGGGTTGCGACAATTTCGGCGGCTAATTTTAGAAAGAAAGGGTCCAAATTGTCTAGCCCAGCTGATTTGTAGATTTCCCTCTATGAACTGTAAAACTCTGAAAAATGGTTGAAATTGTTGCATTTATATTTTTGTTCCATGTACATTACCTTGTAAAGGTAATACTATCTACACTTGGTCAAAACAGTGTCCTGTCCATACAGGTAATGCTGATATCGAGCAGCTGCTTACATAGGCTGTACAATCCACCAGAGACCCAAAAAAACTTTCACTCTATCGGGGGGAAGACAGGGTCGTCTTCAGTGAGGAAGACAAAGGGTCTTCTTTAAAACCATGCCTCTTCATCTTTTTATTGGGAGGAGGCCTGGAGCACATAGACCAGAGTCAGAATACACACACACACACACACACACAAACACAGGGTTGGAAATTAAACACCCGCCAAATGTGGGTAGATTTTGTCACCAGCCACATTGGCGGGTGGTCACACAGAGCATACGGGAACTTTGTTTTATTTTTATCCAAAGCCCACATGTAGAAGTTGGTCGAATTGACAAGAAAGGCTTCTAAAGTGTGACTTTGTCCTCGTGTTTCTTTGCCAATTACATCGTTTTGTTCACATACTAGGTTGTTTTTTAATATTATTTTGAGTTTGCGGAAACTGGTCTTCTGCTCGGAAGACATTTCAGTCAGAGATTTTTTTTCCATCACAGAGGAGTGCACAAATCACCACAGTAACAGCCCGTCCCTTAAAGTGGCAGCTGAACATTTGTCTCACCTAATGATTGAGCATGGATTACTCCCAAAAACATTTATTCATTAACTTTTTGTAATTTCTTATCATTAAAACACTCAAACTTTGTAATTGTTTTCCTAGATTTATTTGTGTGCTTCTACATGTCTACTTAGGAACACATAATGTACTCTTTGTAAAATATGCCAGCGTAGAGCCCTGAACTATAATAATAAATAAGCTTTATCACTCTGCATTTTGTGGCAGGGCAGGCACTTTGTTGATTGTTGATGTTCAGTTGTAAAACTGTTTATCGGTTTTTACTACTGTATCTAAATGATTTAACATACATTGGTTAAGACGCAGGTCACAAAAATGAAATAAAATTAAGCGATATACCCCATTACTTCTTACTAGTAATACTTTTCTTGTTTTAGAAAGTATCCTCATCTGTTTTTTTGTGCTTTTTGGAGTAATAATGGCAGGAAAAATATTTTGGCAGGTAAAAGAAATCTGAGTGGTTGGTAGATCTTATCTACATGCCACAGTGGCTGGTGGACCAAAAAGTTTATTTCCCACCCTGCACACACACACGTTGGGTTCCTTGGTCTGATCGCCTGCCTCTGGCTCTTTGGGCGAGTCCTCTCCTGCCTCCTTTACCTCCTCTCCATCCTCCAGGGGCGTCTCAAGGAGGGGGATCCCCACTGGAGAGTCCTCTGGCTGGGGCACTGAGCTGGATGTCTGCTCCTTCCTCAACTGGAGATGGAGAAAGACGGATCATAGTCAACTTTAAAAACGGGAACTTCTCTCTGGTATATGAGGTACCGGACGGTGATGCGTTCCATCTGAGATGTGCTTGTGTTAACAAGAAACCAAAGGTGTGTGGAGTGTGCGTGAAGTGTGCTTTTCTGTGTGTGTGTTCCCGTGCACGTACGCGTGTGTACCTTGGGGAATCTTCGGATCCAGGGCATGGGGGCTTTCTTGACCAGGACAGCTACAAAGAAGCCTCCAGTGTTCTGGTGATGGGGCAGGATCCTCATACTGAATACACACAGATACTGTATATAAATTATATACACACACAGAAATATGAGCCAAGAGCACCCTCTGCTGGTAGAAATCAAATCAACACAAACCAGCAACCCTTCACAGGGATTTGATAGTCTGTCTAGCTTTTATTAATAATCTCATTTTAGGATCAGATATGTCTGTCAGCAGCTGTGTGGAAAGGTGAATGTGTACAGGTAGCAAATAAATGTACATGATTGTCATGAAAGTTGACATCTTAGGCATATTCTAAAGAAATAAAGTGGGGCCTGTGTGTATACGCAGGTGTGTGTACCATCTCTCCAACTTCATATTGGCCAGTTTCTTTGTGTCTGTGAGAGGGAACACGGTGGGTCTGATCTGTGTGGTGTGGCGGTTGGCTGGCACCTCTGACCAGTCCTTATACCACTGACCCTCCTTAGTCATCAACTAAGAAAGAAAGAAAGAAAGAAAGAAAGAAAGAAAGAAAAGTATGTGTGAGAGGTAGTTGTGGATGGGGAGAAGGAGATGGGAGAGAGCGCAAAAGACTCAGATATAAAACGGTCTCAATCTGTCGTCAATAAACTGACAAGGTTGTGGAATATCATGAATATTGTAGTGGCTAGACTCTCATGCCTATCAAGTACCTCTTGTAGCTGCTAGCAGTGACTGTTAGGCATGAGGTGGAGCTCATGTGGTCCAATAGTTATATACCTTGCATTTGGTGACTCCAGGCATCCATTTTAACCCTGGGAGATCAGCGGATGCATCTTCTAATTCTAACGCACCTGGAGACAGACAAAGAAGGAGAAGAAGCAGTTATCACTGGTGTGTGTGTGTGTGAGAGAGACTCTGGATTCGTGTGTGCATGCGTGTGTGTGTTACCTTCACTCTTCTCCAGTAGTGTTGCTATGACCAGCTTCGTCCTCGATAGGGTTCAGTGAACAGGTAGAGTAGACCATCCTCCCTCCTACAGTTAGCTGCTCCACACCACGCACTGCTATACGGATCTGGAGACACACACACATGTTACTAGCTCTCTCGCCTCACCCATGGAGTTGCAGGTTGTTGCTGGTGGTCCATTTCTTCCACACAATGTTCTTCCTCATGGTGCCATCTCCACTGGAGATACACACATAATACTTGGCTTTAGGGAATTAAGAAAATAGGAAACACACTTAAAAACAATGTTTGGGCAGAGACAAATCCAGGGAAGCTGACAAACCCCTAACTAAATATCAGCCTTCCCACACAGGCAATCCAACAGTGTGGTTTCAGACTGCTCAGCCGCCTCCCTCTTATCTCTCTACTCATCCCTCTGTCGCCCATCTCGATTCAATTCAAAGGGTTTTATTAAAATATAGGTTTACATTGCCAAAGCAAGTGAAATAGACAAAAGTTTGAACAAAAAAAGTTATAGAAATTAAAAGTAAATCTCTGTCTGTGTGTGTGAGTGATGGGGTCCAGGCCTTGGCATTATGGGCCCAGTCAGACTCAGCATTTGGCCTGGGAGAGTTACTTTACCCACAGTCTCATTCTTGTGGTCACACTTGGTTCCCCTACTAAAAACAAGCAGTAGCCTGTCCAGTGCAGCAACCAATCATAGAACACACACACACAAAAAAAAAAATCATAGGACAGACAGGGTAGAACCATGACGTTTATACAGCTCCACATATCTGACTGTCTAGATATCATGTCTAGTTCTGACGGTCAAACACCAAAACCCCAGATTTTATTTTTGTCTCTCTCCCCCCCGGCCTTTCTTTCTCCCCTACTTCTCCCTCTCTCACCTAAGCAGGTAACCAGGTTAACTCTTTGTTTACCTGCATGGGACGTCACAGAGGATGCGGTCGTAGAACAGTGTGTCCTTCTGTCCGTCCTCTGTGTCTATCTGTAGTCTGGGGATGCAGGAGGCATCGTGGTTCACCACCATGATATAGGGGCTGTTCAGTCTCTTAGCCTGAAACCCCACCTCTTTAAGGAATACCTGGGATAGGATAAAGTAATTCCTTCTACCCCCCCCCCCCCAGGGGAAGGGTACATCCATTGCCAGGGAAGGGTACATCCATATCAGAATGGAGCATCTCGATCAACAGGAGCAGCACACATGTCCATAATCTACCCACAGGAATACACACTGTTACACTATGGTGTTCCCAGGTTTAGGGGGGTCAGAAATGGGAGCAGGCCTTTGCCAGAGAGGCATCCAGTGTGTTGCTTACCTTGTGGTGGGGTTCAAGCTTCATCAGCAGAGGAGGGATCATACTTACAGCCTCCTGTCTGCTGAGGTTACCCTGTAGAGACCAAGGTAGAGACAGAAACGCCACAGTACATAAGGAAGCCATACAGCTAAGAAACCATCAAGATCCTATTCAATTACTATTCTAATTCCTAATTCTATGCAAGAAACCAACTAGCAGCTCATCTATTGTCAGGTTTAGTTGCTATGACATGATGAACATTAGGGCTGGTTTCCCAGACACAGGTTAAGCCTAGTCCTGGACTAAGGAGCTAAGGAGATAGTCGGTGGGGAAATTGACAGTCTCGCTGACCAGGAACTGATGGAACTTCTCCAGGAGAGGAGACTTCCTCAGGATCTTCCTGCTCATGTTGGTGTGCCACACTAGCTCATCTGGGTACCTACACACACGCACACAAAAAGGGTCATCAGCTGTAATGCCACGTTCACTTGCTAGTCGGAACTAGGAAACTCTGAAATGTCTGACTTGCTAACTGGTTGTAGTTATACACGTACCGGGTTCAACCAGTTAGCAAGTCGGAAATGTTTGAGTTTCCTAGTAGCCCGTGAACGTGGCATTCGTATCTGTGTCCGTGCATGCGCTCGTACCAGCTCAGAGGCTGAGAAGCATCTATTTTCTGCCCGTCGATCACAACCTCCTGGATCTCCTTGAAGTAATTGTTCTTAAGACAGTGTAGCTCAGTTGGTAGAGCATGGCGGTTGCAACGCCAGGATTGTGGGTTCGATTCCCACGGGGGACTAGTATGTGTGTGTGTGTGTACACGTTACCAGGGAAGGTACATGTATGAAAAATGTATACACTCACTACTGTAAGTCGCTCTGGATAAGAGCGTCTGCTAAATGACTAAAATGTAAAATGACAGTGGAGGATCTCCTTGGCATGGCTACAGATGGACAACACAATGGACATTACTTTCAATGCATTTAGAGGTTTAATAGAGGATGTTTTGGACAACAGTCTTAATCATTGTGGATCCTGATGTAGAGCAAGAGTAGCCTAGACCTGTGTCTGCTGTCTCACTAACCCCCCTATTGTCTTTATCAGGCCAAATTATCATGAACACTAACAGATCTGGGAACAGGCTGTGGATGGAGGTAAGAGAAGAGGTGAGTTTTCTGACATTGACATGCCAATGAATTATCATAGCAGTTGGCAAGACAGCACAAAGACATCTGGGACCAAAATACAATAGCTAGTTAGTTAAGCATGTCAACAATGCATGATAAGCAATGAGTTGTGCAATAGTAATCAAATGAAAGTTGCTGGCTAGCTTGGGAGAAAATAAATCTCTCTTTGACTTGGCATAACGTTACAGTAATTTGAAGCTAGCTAACTAGATACAGTAATGTTCTGCTAAAGTTAACCGGCTACCGTTAGCTATGATGAGCTATCAAACCTTACAGCATTGTCCCTGCTATCCCTTCCGCCAGGCTTGCTATTATTTTGATGCTCCTTATTTCTCTGTCGACTTCTCTTCCCCATGTCGGAAACACACACCACTCTGGATATGAACCGGCGAAGCAGAGTTTTGGTGTAGCCAAAACCTAGTTTACTAACAGCGTGATTAAAAGCCAGGGTTGTGGGTAAAATCTGCGTTGGTCCTCTGTAGCTCAGCTGGTAGAGCACGGCGCTTGTAACGCCAAGGTAGTGGGTTCGATCCCCGGGACCACCCATACACAAAAAAAAATGTATGCACGCATGACTGTAAGTCGCTTTGGATAAAAGCGTCTGCTAAATGGCATATTATTATTATTATTATAAAATAATGTTGCACTCACGTGCTGTTTCTGTCGCGCACACAGTACTCGGTCGTCACTAGTTAACCCAGCCACAAAGTCATAAACCCCGCCCATTTATACAATTTATCTTCTTAAAATCTGATTCTACACCTAACGCTTTGAACACACCGACTGTGTTTTGCGCAAAATAGTATGCAACATCATCTAGATATGTGTGCAACAAAAGTTCAACACTCACCTTCTGCTACCATTTCTGTCAACCCGTTTACGCATATAGTTTAACGCATACGTTCGATAAATCCAACGTATGCACCACACAGAACGAACTGCATCTGCAACGCAATGCTGCAAGGCAAACGCAGCGTTCCATTGGAAATTAAGGTACTTCTGGTGTACCAAAACGCAAAAACACAGTCGGTGTGTTCAAAGCGTAACCATAAATTAAGACCAAAAAGCACATTTCTGTTTGCATGATCTGTTGTTGTAGTGGCTATGTTATTTTGTGGAAGCCACACTGCTCGCGAACCCATTTGAGACAGGACCCCAGTTTATCAGCCAGCAGTTTATGTGTGACCATGTATTCGCCAGAGAAATAAAAGAAAATGTCAGTGCAATATTTTAGCCAACTGTATAAAGCACACTCAAATGTGTTTTCTTTTTTGGAGACAGACAGACAGTGACAAATTATATGTGAAAATTGCTTGATGTCCATGTCCCCAACCATTTGTGTTTTTTTTTGTGTGCACTGACACCCCTTCCTCCAAAGAATGTCCGATAGTGGCATTTTCTTCGCCGGTCAAGGAAACGATAATATCTGAGCAAGAGATACCAATTTAGGACAAAACTCCTGCTTTTGCCAAAATGTCTAATTGAATTAATCTAAAAGTACTGTAATTTCATATTTTCACCAGAATGTAGTCCCCTGTAGCTCAGTTGGTAGAGCATGGCGCTTGCAACGCCAGGGTTGTGGGTTCGTTTCCCACGGGGGGGGATGAAAATGTATGCACTCACTAACTGTAAGTCGCTCTGGATAAGAGCGTCTGCTAAATGACTAAAATGTTTAAATGTTTCTCCTGAACACACCCCAAAGTAGGGGTCTATAGAATGTGGGAATTCAATTAATATCGCCCGGGCGCCCAGGTAGGCGTGTTTGAAAGCGGGAAAGTTGATTGCATTCGTTTTGGAACGGGCTGCCTCCCGGGCGTGAGCTAGGTGCCCCGTTCAAAGCCCACAGAGAAAAAAACGCGTTATCTGCCTTCCCAATGAAAACGAGTATGAAAATTAAACCATTTTTTAATGGAAAATAGATGTTTTATGTTTCTGGACGGTACACAATGCTTCCTTATTGGCAACATGACTGTTCAGTTTGAGAAGGGCACTCCTGCCTCACCACTTTTGCACAGTCACGTCACAACCAATGGTCCGGTGCCCCGCGGCTCAGAATAATCGAATCCGCCCAATGATTTATATACAGTATGTACACCATTGGGTTTTTAAGTTGAATAACATTGTATCCAGAATACCCGCTCATATGCATTTTACCAGTAAGCCTATGGTCTCATGAGTCTTCCCAAGTGCCCCCAGTGGATAGGCCAAGTACCCCTAGGGGTCCTAGTAACCTGGTTGAGAACCACTGTTCTAGGTGACAGTGCAGTGCTGAATTCTCAATTGTAAATTCAAATAAAATCGGTAATAATAATGCATGTCATTGCCTAAATGATGTGCCAACATTGTAACTGAAATGCAGTGCATTCTCAGCCATGAGAAACATCCACATTAGACAACTGGTGGTTCTTCTAGATCTCTCATCTATCAATGTTTTATTTGTGGAGGGAAATCTACTCCGTTTGCATTGTTCATCCTGGCCTTTGTGTTCTGCATCTATAATGGCTATATGCAGGTCAGATACCCGAGCCACTGGGTTACTAGCCCCTGCTTCATCACAGGTAAGAGACATGGGTGACATACTGCATACGTCAGGGTTCCCCAACTGGCGGCCCATGGGCCGAATTTGGCCCGCGAGTGATTTTATTTGGCCCCGATGTCTTCTGAGAAAAATGAATAAATAATGTTGGAATTGAAAGACTGTAAAAACACCAGCAAATCAGCTCCAAGTGAGTTTAATTTTGGAAATCTGTTCCAAAGTATTTCCACGCATAATAGAGAAATATACACTGTGTCCAAAATAATAGGAATATTTCCATGACATAGACTAACTAGGTGAATCCAGGTGAAAGCTATGATGCCTTATTCAGTATGTTTACATGCACACTAATAATTTGATATTAAACAGATTATGGCAGTAGGCAGATTATGTAGTAGTCATGTAAACACCTTACTCTGTTTATTTTAATCGGTGTAAGGTCAAAATCGAAGTAAGCATACATCGATTAAAACAACTGGTTTTCTGAGCAATCTTTCTAATGATTAGGACATGTTAACACCTTAATCGGCGTTCCAGTGGTGTATTTGTATGTGCTAGCACCAGCCGAATGTGTATTCGGAACAACTGAATGTATGCGTTTTAGAAGTAGTTTTCACATACAAACTTTATATGTCCGAAATCAGAATAAAATATGCTCGCTGTGGTAGAACATTTATTTTATTATATCAGAGTGCCATCAGGTAGCCTGATTTCAGATGTGTCCATGTAAACAGGATTATTAGGTAAATCATTCTTGCAAAGCATTTAAACATTTTAATCAAACTATTATATACATCTGACTATCCACAATTATCACATTATTGTGTGCATGTAACCGTACTCATTTGATGTCACTTGTTAAATCCACTTCAATCAGTGTAGATGAAGGGGAGGAGACAAGTTAAATAAGGATTTTTAAGCCTCAAGACACGGATTGTGTATGTACAGTCGTGGTCAAAAGTTTTGAGAATGACACAACTATTGGTCTTCACAAAGTTTGCTGCTTCAGTGTTTTTAGATATTTTTGTCAGATGTTACTATGGTATACTGAAGTATAATTACAAGCATTCCATAAGTGTCAAAGGCTTTTATTGACAATTACAATTAATATTTGTGTCATTCTCAAAACTTTTGACCATGACTGTATGTGTGCCATTCAGAGGGTGAATGGGCAAGACAAGATTTAAGTGCCTTTGAACGGGGTATGGTAGTAGGTGCAAGGGGCACCGTTTTGAGTGTGTCAAGAACTGCAATGCTGCTGGGTTTTTCACGCTCAACAGTGTATATCAAGAATGGTCCACCACCCAAAGGACATCTAGCCAACTTGACACAACTGTGGGAAGCATTGGAGTCAACATGGGCCAGCATCCCTGTGGATAGCTTTCGACACCTTGTGGAGTCCATTCCCCAACGAATTGAGGCTGATCTGAGGGCAAAAGGGGGTGCAACGTAATATTAGGAAAGTGTTCCTAATGTTTTGTACACTCAGTGTATGTGATCGTATACAAATGTAAGCAAGGTTTGAAATTATGTTTTAGTCAAATAGTATATATCTGTTTGGGCTTCTTGCGGTCAATTTGCAGTCTACAAATTATTTGTAATTATGTTCCGCCCCCCTGACCATCCGCTCAAGAAAAAAATCATAAACCACAAATTACACAGTTGTCTTTCAATATGTTCCGTGAATTTCTTTATGTATTGGCCCTGATCGTTCTAGAGTTATGCCACGTCATGCTATCCATAAAGACCTCACATTTAAAAATGTTCACCTCATTGGTCTCTTATACACACTGTCATTATAAATCAGCTTCCCCATTGGTTGATTTTCAGGCTCTGTGCTGTGGTTGGTGGGTTGGTTGGTGAACGTTCACTCTGACCACATCCTAAGGAACCTATGGAAGCCTGGAGGGACCGGCTACAAGATACCGTACCTACAGGTAAGATACCTGCTACCTGCAGGTTCGCTCTGGCCAATCAAAACCACTGCCTGGAAGTTTCCTAGTAAAGCAGTGGTCCTGAATCTTCTTCTACATGCAGTGGATAATCTCATTGGCTGGAGTTTACTGACTGGAGGAGGGAGAACACTGCTTGTTCCTTTACAGCACGTGTTAAATTCATTCCACATAGGGCCGAGTGTCTGCAGGTTTTCGCTCTTCCCTTGAACATGATTGATGAATTAAGGTCACTCATTAGTAAGAAACTCCCCTCACCTGGTTGTCTAAGTCTTAATTGAAAGGAAAAACCAGCAGACTCTAGGCCCTCCATGGAATGAGTTTGACACCCCTGCTTTACAGTTACAGATAGTGCATACCCCTTGACTTATCCCAAATTAAATACAGAGATATGCAACAAATATTGTGGTTAAACTCAAATATACTAACTGATAAAAAACCTTTTTTTTTGTTGACCAAAAAAAAAAAAAGGTATAATCTTCGTAAATGATATCATCGGTAGGACTGGTGGAGTTATGTCGCACATGCAGCTAACAAAAACATATGGAAATGTGTGCTCTACCCAAAATTACAACCAAATAATTGCAGCATTACCGCAAAAATGGAAGAGGAAAGTGGAAGGGGGAAAAAGTCAGGAACTTGTCTGTCGGCCTTGCATTAAAGAACATCATTGGTTAAAGAAAACTGTGATAAATAAAAAAGTATACCAGTTTCATTTAAGGACCAAAGGATTGACAGCTGTCCCATATAGATTGCAAAATAGATACTATCTTCCCAGCTCTGCAGATTTTGCTGCGAAGAGACAGAATCATTAGATAATTTGTTTTGGTACTGTCCATTTGTAGCTTGTATTTGGACCGTGGCTTG